AAGTGTTTAATTATAATATTAAAATTTATGGTAATTGTTTAAATTGTTCTGGTCATAAATAAATGCCACATTAATTCATAATTCTGGTTTAAAGAATACATATACTTACATTTGTATAAGTATGTGGCAACAAAATAAATCAAAAAATTTATTCAATCGTTCAAGAAAATTCTTTCTAATTCTATTTAAAATATTTACATTTCAGATTTAATTTCACTTCACTACAAGTATATATAATTATTTAGACAAAATTATATTCTTCAAAAACTAAGATGAAATATAAATGTTAACCTAATGCTAAAATGAAATATGCATATATACTTTTTTGTAAAAATTTCAGGAAATACGAAAAAAAAATATGACTGTATACTAAACTAATTGCTATATTTAGTAATATTTTAAAAACTAGTTTAAAAAATTCCGGCAATTTTAGAAATAATAAGTTTTATCCTAAAATTATAATTTTTACACGATATTTACTATTTAAATTAATAATTAGCATACTTGTATTCTAAAATATATTTCGAATATTGAATAATATTTGCAAAAAAAAAAAAAAATAAATAAATTATTTTTAAAAATTTTCTAAAAAAAAAAAACAAATAAGTAGCGAAGCGTCATTGAAAGCTCAACTTACTAATTATTATGGCAGCTTATTGTGTATGTACCTACTTGGTATGCGCTATATAATGAGAATTTTGCGTATATTCAAAAATAAATACCGATTATATTAACATGTCTTTCGTCATTTCATAATAATTAAATTATTTGCTAGAAAAATAATTATTAATTTAAGCTACTGTAGTTAAGACAGGAAGCCATACTAATATTAGTCACATTTTTGTTATAATACTAAATTTTTTTCCCATTTTACCAGGCATTGTATTGTTGATTGGGACGATTTTTATAAAAATTAACAAAAATCCTTGATCCCACAAAAAACCATATTTCCATATAATATTCTTCAGAAATGGAACCATGTAGAAAATATTACCTCTGTTAAAAATTAATCAGATTTTATTGTTAGAGACAAGCTTCTAATATTTTACGCCCTAACTCTATACGCAATCCTTAACTTCACAAACTCATACATTTTTTGTTAAAATATTCCCAGATTATGTGCTTGGGGCTGGTTTTAACCTTATAGTTTTTATAAAATTTGAATAAATACATATATATAACTATTTAATGAATCTCTTCCCTTTGCTTTCAAATAGGCTACCTATATCTCTTTATTAGAATTACCCATTTTTTAAATATTCTTAATATGAAAAAATTTTGCAAATTAATTTATGTAGTTCAAACATTTCGTATAACAGTAAGTCTTATAAAGAGTACCGTTATCTGTGAAAGAAAAAATCAGTGATAAGTTTTTTATTTTATATTTGCTCTTTTATACGATTTTGACTTACTGTACGAAGTTAAGAATTGTGTATTACAGTGGTATCATTTCGTTTTCCGAAAAACAAAACTTGTTGTTGCCATTTAAAAAAGGTTGTTTGTCACAAAATCAGTCGCTTTGTTTCAAATGTTCAATTAAAACTTATTTTTAACTGCAATTTGCTAATAAAATTTTAAATTTACATATATTTATATACATATTTACATATAATTTATTAATTCCCATTATCATTTAATTTTCTAAACCAAAAAAATTTTAATTTCAATTTATCCAAAATAAGCAAATAATTGTTATAATATATTCACAACAAGGGGGAACAAAGTCAAGAATTGCATTATGCAAATCGCATAGCAAAATATATGTCAAATAATAAACCACAAATTGTTAAAAAATTTTTTATCAGAAGTATACCTTATTAGCACTTTATAATTTTACAATTCAAAAATACAAAATTAAATTTTCAATTACTAATCTTGAAATGATAAAAAAAAAAACCCTATTTTTATTTAGTATACATATAAAATAGAAATTTATCAATTTAATTAAAGTATTGCCAAATAATTACCACGCGATATCGAAACGAAAATGTTAAAAAAATTAACAATATTTTTTTCAAAACATTACACACATTATTCATTAACATTTTCATTCACAATAAGTTTTCGAACCGGGCACACCTTAACCAAAAACAAAAATATAAACAAATTTTTTTTTTCAAAATTTTGTAAAATAAATTTTCATTCAAAATTACGATATTTAACAAAAAACACAAAAAATTGAAAGTACAATACAAAAGGCCAAAAGAAGAAAAGCAAGAAAAAAAAAACAATAAACCGCACTTTATTACAATCTCCGAAGATCTAATTATTGTGTCAATTAAATGTATACGATATATACTAACATATACGAGTACATATATATATATAAATGTTGCAATAGAACCTAAAAACCTTTTTTTTTTAAATTATTGTTTATTTTGTTTATTTATTTAATTATTGACCCATTCGTTTTTTTTTCTGCTTTTTAAACCTTGAAAACTCTCTATATACAATATTCTTTCATTATTAAAATGCATAAATGCATATAGACATATATGTATACAATATCTCTCTATATAGCCTCTATCTTTTTAACATAATTTTTTCTATTTTTTTTCTAAAAAAGCTCTAATAATCCTCATGTTTCTTTTAAAAAGACCACACAATTTTTTTTTCTCTTATAGTTATTTTATGTGTGTAAACTATAAAAATTTTACTTTCATATGAGATGACCTTGACCGTACAAATAAAATAATCATAAATTAAAATTTTTTTATATTCATACATGTATATGAATATAATGTATGTATATATGAATATACATTTATGTATGTGTATAGATACCTATTATACAAGGAATATATGTGTTTATAGATCATGATGTTAACAATTTTTATGCATGCCACCGCATATACAATATATTAAATTTATTATTGTTTATAGTGCAATGCATACGAACATGAGTATACAATATGTATACACGCTATATACGATTACTAATGTTTTCTCACTTTAATATTATGTATACGTACATATAAGCATAGATAGGTAATAATCATGATGATGATGATGATGATTTCTTTTATGTTACGAATTGATTTTAGCTACACATTGAAAATGATTGTGTTTGTATATAACATCTACCTTTAATAGAAAGAAGAAAACCGAAAAACAAAAAAAAAAGGCAAAAAAATCAAAAATTTATACACAATAAAATAAAAGAGAGCTTTTTAGCATCTCTCATGAAAGTATATACAAAAAAAGAACAGTTACGAGTTACGTTTAACGACTCTTTTATTTTTTATTATATGCGAGAAATCTTTTTTTAATTCAAACGATTAACTGTTATTGCTCATCTTTACAATAGCTTTTAATACTGTGTGTTGTGTGTATATAGTTAAACGTATTAGTAATACATGCGTGAATCTTTAATACACAATTAAAGAGTGTGTAAAACAAAAAAACAAAGAAAAAAGAATAAAAATAAAAGGTAATCAAACATCATTTTAAAAAAAGAGATAATGAGAAAATTGTTGAAATAAAATTGCATTTTTGCTTAAAATTGTTCAGTAAATTTTTTTTTTTAGACTTGAATATGTTAATTTTTACACATCATTCATGATCATATGATATAAATTATTGAAAAAACGGAAAATAGAGTTGACCATGTCAATGATAATGATATTACTCAATTTTCAATTATGCATCTCCTGTTTGCATAATTTTTGGAGTCGCACGGCAGCTACCACACAAACTCAGACAATTTTAATGAATTTCATCGAAAATAATGGTCATTAAATTAACGTACTCGTTTATAAAAAAATTTCGGTTTTCCGTAGATCAAATAGTTTCTAAGATACGGGTAAAATTATTTTTCAAGTTTAATGGCATATAGCCATAAAATTGGAGTTATGCAATTTTAATGATTTTTATTATATATAATAGACCTATAATAGTATATTTGCTTTGTGCGAAACTGCAATTCTGTAGCTTTAGTGATTTTTGAAATTGAATTTTTTAATATTTCTCGTATTTTTGTTTCTCGCAGTTTTATTTAAATTGATAAAGGCACATATAAAACTATTAATTGTAATATTAATAGTTGAAATTATAAGGGAGCCAAAATGTTGAAGTGAATATAACTTAAAAATTAATTATGAAAAACTATAATTTATACAATCTGTTAATTAAATTTTATTTTACAGTCAAAATGAAATATTAAAATTTATTATATAACACCTAAAAGTATGCAATATTTTTTTAAAATTGTATTTCTACATTAACTAGCTAGCTAGCTATAGTGCTAATATTTAAACTTTCTCAATAATTTAAACAAGCAATTCAAAGGACAATATTTATTTAAACTATGCTAGCAGGTACATTAATCTTTTCACCCCTATAAGTATGCAATTTTTTTACATTAATGGCTACTTATAGCTAGTTGGATAATTCATTAAATCTGAATATTTTTCATGAATTCATAATATTTTTGCTAAATCACAAAAAATAAAATGAATTTCCCATTCCTCTAATATACACATTTCAAAATATCCACAATAATATGGAAATTTTTAATAAATCATGTAACTTTGCATATATGTATGTGTTGAATATATAAATTTAACAATATGTTCTAGAATATATTTAACAACATGATTCTGAATATATAACACATATATATATACATAAAAACATGAAGTGAATAATGCGGTCCAAAAAAAATTTTTTTTTTAAATTATGACTTTCTTTATCATTAATTTAATAAGGTCAACATAGAAACTGTTGCCAAGAAGAATTAAAAAAAAAAACTTAAATGCATTGCCAATTTTTCTATAAATTATTTGCATATAATTTTATGATTATTAAAGATTTCCTTAAAAAGTCAAAAGTCCAGATTAATATAAGAATTTTTGGGAACTCTTAATTTTTGTTCATTACTTTAATTTTTAAATAAAACTACACTACTTCATTTTAAGGTATTAGAGCTTAAAAAATTGAATTAAATAATCGGAATCCTAGATAATTGAATTAATAAAATATTTTTTTCTTTATATTTTTAGGAAGTTTTCATCCAGATGATATTGAACGTGCTAAATCATCAAATAAATGGCTACAATTATTTCTTGAACAAACTGATTTAGATATGAAACAAGCATTAAATATGTTATGGGAAACTTGTATATGGAGGAAAACATTTGGTACAAATGATATTAATGAAAATAATATACGTTTAGATTATATGGATGTTGGTGCTATGTTTGCTAAAAAACAAGATATTGATGGAAAATATTTAATAATTGTTAGATCAAAATTACATCAAAAAGGTACCAAAGATATGAATGAATTAATAAGAATTTTAGTTTATTGGATTGAAAGAATACATCGTGAAACTGATTATGATCAATTAACATTATTTTTTGATATGTCATCAGCTGGTTTATCAAATATGGATATGGATTTTACAAAACGTACAATTGATACATTTAAATATTATTATCCAAATTCATTAAATTATATTATTATATTTGAAATGCCATGGATTTTAAATGGTAAATATGAGAAACAAAACAAATTATTTTTTTTAATTATCAAGGGTATTTTTAATAAGTTCATATGAATTACATTCCAGCATTTATATTTTAAGTACCAATTATAAAAATAGTTGATCCTTGAAACAGAGAACTAAATTATTTTCAAATACTTTGAAGTCAAAATAATTTTTTTTTTTTTAACCAACTTCAATAAATTGTCTTAAAATTTCCTATACTGCTGTATGTATATCTACTTATTGCTATATGTGATTTACATTCAAAAATTTTCTCATCTAAAATGTTGGAAATTATGTATCTACGGTAAATTTAAAGACTATATCCAAGTCTATATAGATATTTTAAAATTACATATATATTATGTCTATATTTGTTTGTTTATAAGTAGGTCAAACGAACTTTTTCCTATAGGGTTCAAATATAATGTTTTACATTCAATTTAACATTGAATTGAAACACGTGTGCTTACAGAAATTTTGTTTTGATAATAATTTACGTAGACGTACCGATATGTTATTCTATGGGTATGGGATCATACTAGAAAATTTCTTGTTTTGAGTATAAAAATTTAATGAACGTAACAAATGAATTCAAAACAAAAGGAAGTATGTTGCTATGTAAAATGAGAATTTATTTTGTGTACTCGTGTATATTGAGTACCAAAAAATTATCACAACATTTCAATTCCTCAATTCACTTATCTTTTAAAAAATTAGAATAAATAATTAATTTGCTTAAAAATATAAAATTCTTAAATTAAACTTAATAAGAGCTTTATATAAAATTATTTTTCAAAGTCATGTGTTCAAGCTTCAAAAATTTGCTACAACATGACACTCTTAAAAGATATGCTAACAATTCCTGAATGAAATATAATGTTTGTTCATTGTCTACAAAAGAGCGGCTAAAAATTCCTGGATAAAATTCAGAATTCTGAATTATGATGATAAATTACCTAAATCCAGGCTAATGTGTTTCGGATCAATTATGTATTTAAAACTTCTAATAAAAGATAAGCACAAAATGTAATTTTTTGTACTTTTGCCATTAGGTCAGAACTAAATTTTGTCAAAAGTAGATAATATTAAGCAGAATTTTAATTTTTTATAAATTAAAAAACCAACAACTAGTATCCGACTAGGACAGTTTTTGGTTCTAGCATTTATACACCTTCAATTCCTGTATAATACTAATTTTAAATGCTTCTAAAACCTATATAATAAAGATCAGAAAATTATTTTGCTCCACTTCATTTAGATACCACTTTACTTCATTATAAACCTCTTCTGCTATATTAATATTTTTCAATATCCTTTCGTATTTTACTCATAAAAAAATGAAATATAAATCTTAAAGTATTATGGAAAAATACCACTGTACTACACTGTTATACACGAATATAATAAAGAATGCAAAAATTTTTTTCTTCTTTTTCTCTTATTTTTTCTTTTATATAATAAAATAAAATTTTTTTTTTTTTAGCTGCATTTAAAATTATCAAAGGACTTTTACCACCAAAGGCTGTTGCAAAAATGAAATTTTTAAATACAAAAAATATAAAAGAATATATACCGGATTCACATTGTTTAAAAATATGGGGCGGTAATGTAGATTATGAATTTAAATTAATACCGGAAGTAAGAAATTCAAATAAAATTAGTTCAACGACAACAATACAGCAACAATCACAAGCACCAAAATTAAATGGTAATCCATTTCCATCACCAGCATCATCAATTTCATCGACAGAAGGAGTTGGTCATACAAAAAAGGTGAGTACCTTTATATATATATTACATTTATATACTTTTTAAATTTGCATGAAAATATTATTTATATAATTTATATAAATGTATAACCTTAAACAAACTAAACAGGGTGTTCGAGACCCGAATACCATTACTATATGTTGCAAGGTAATAGAATGAGTTCACACGAAACAAAGAAGTAATACAGAAAGTTTTCATTGATTTCACCCGTCTTCCCTAATTATTTGAGGCCGCATTAACAGGATCTTTCTAAAAAACATAGAATTGTTATTGTTTAACTTTTGACTCAGGAATGTCAGACACAAAAATTAATACTAAAATTTGTTTAGTTTTAAAAAAGACTGTAAATTTTTTTTATTTTTTGGGAGGACACCATACCAAGTCACGAACACCCTGTATAAATATGCATGAATATAAATAGCAAGGTTAAATTTATTTTTAATAAAATGTACAATGTAGTCTAGTATATAAAAGGAAAATGTGAAAGGTAAGTATATATTTTATTATGCACATTTATACTGTTATACATATACATTTATACTGTTATACATATTTAGATTTACAAATATAAAAATTGCTTTTATTTAAAAAACACTTAGATTTTTATGTAATGTGCGTGTATGTATTGCATATTTCTCTCTCACTATATTTTATTATTAGTTTTGAATAAAATCCTGAAAAAGTTTCTAACTTATACTATATAAGTGAATATAATTAAAAAGTTATGCCTATATTTAGCGATCGTATCTTATTGCATAAATAAGGTAATTTTTGTCATGGTATTAAATTATGTATGTCCATAATTTTTAACAGAAATGATATATGGAGATACGAAATTTCGACTTGATTTTATTTTACAATCAAAATAAAATTATGAAGTTTATTATACAACCCCCAAAAATTTGCAATATTTCGAAATGATTTTCACGAAAATTTATGTATTTTATAAGTTTAATTTGGAAATGGGACGAGTATTGATCAATTTTTGAGATATGTCAGATCTCAGTAACTGGACCTTTACTACGAGCCTATTTTACATTTTTGATCATGCTCATAAGAGCCGCATTAAAAAATAACATGCTTGATTTTTGATGAGATCACAACTTAGTGACCTTTACTAAGGGTCGATCTCCTTAATATTTCATTCGGTTCGAATGATTTCCTTAATATTTCATATCTAGTTATTGTGAGAATTAATCAGTATTTCGGAAATATCTGAATTTTTCGAAAATATTGATAATAATATTATTTCACTATAGGAGCTGATTTTACATTTTTTATCATATTTAAGGAACGAATTGACGAAATTTCTTGTGGTTCAATATTTCAATTTTGAGAGTTAAAAAAATTATTTTGACAACTTTGTATAGGGAAATCGAGTGAAAATGAATCTTTCCTAAGAATCAAATTAACATTTTTCTAGAATCAATAACTTGAAAGCTTTGAACCACCTTTCATAGAATTTTCAATTCATTTTGGTACAAAAAAGAAGTTCAAAATTTATTTCTTTTTTAAAAAACATTTTCATAATTTTATGCAATATTTTAACAAATGCGGCCGATTATGTGCTGTTCACATCAAATATTTTTGTTTATAGATATAAACGTGACCGAATAATATGGTTTGTTAAAAATATTTTGTTTTATTAATTCAACAAGGTATACACAATGATACTTAAAAGAAAAAATTATTTAATTTTTTATTTCTTAAACTTTTACCTATAATAATAAATTCTTGTATATAGAATCCTTGTTTCTATAATGCAAATGCATTAAAAGTACGGAAAAATTAATATACGGGGTTGAAAAAATTAATGCGAGAGAAAAGCCATTCCGTAGAGTGTGAGCGTTTTATTCGCATTTTTTTTTTTTATTAATAAATTATTCATACAGAAATATTAAGAAGAAAATTAAAATGAAAAAATTAAAATTTAAATTAAAATTTAAATGGTGTGTACTCATGACATACACACACATTCAAGTATCCTCAAAATTGCAGGATTGCATTTTATATATTTTTATGTTAAGTGTATAGTTTATAAATCAAAAGAAATTTTTGCATATTTTATAGAAAAATTTAAGGATAATAAATTAATATTAAAAAAAATATATATTTTTTTTAAATTTTTGAATTATTTTTAAAATTTGGCTACGTAAAAAAATCTGTATAAAAATTTCCTAAAACATTTTACTAATAATTGTCCTTGTTATATTAAAAATATTTCAATGGAAATAATTCGCAATATAAAACATTAATAATTGTTTTCGTAAATTCATTTACTTCGAAATATTTCGGAAAATCATTTCAGCTTAGTGGCCTGATAGACAAATTTCTGACATTGTGAATGAAATTTTATTCATTTTTCAGAAATTCTCGTCAATTTGTCCGGTTCTACAGAACACAATTATTTATGTTTATTTAAATTTTTATGGCTCTCGATAAATACGTTCGGCTTCCGTTTTCATTTTTGTATTATTGATATTTCAAGAAAAAAAAATTGCCTTTCCATATGTGTTTAGGAAAATATAGTTATAATTCTTAAGGTACTGCAAATTCTTAGTTGCAAAATGATATAAGTCATCAAAAACTACATGGATTGAAGAAAAACATTCGAATTCGTAATACCGAATCGATTCCACATCGATTTTCGATTCGTAAAATTTCATTATAAAGAGTAAGTAGTTGATATTTAGCTGAAAGAGTTGAAAAAAATAATTTGTATCACTTTTGAATATAATTTGTAATCTAAAATTTTGGATTAATTAAGATTTAAGTGCTGCTGAAAAATAACGGCTGCTGAAAAATAACGGCTGCTGAAAAATACCTCAGAAAGAGCTCGGCCACCTCTATTCTATACTGATTTGTCAACTATATATGCAGCTTTTAATAAAACCCTCTTAATAAAACATGTTTTCCTATTAATTATTTACAACGTGCGCCTCCAAATGTGTGAATTGGAGAAAATTATTTAAATTTTTTATTTAAAAGTTTCTAATAAATAATAACGAAAATTCTAATCTTATGTACCTTATACTGTGATTTAAAAATATTAAATGATCCTGTCCATAATTTTATCTATAAAACTACCAAAAATTTAAATTATCCTCTGTTGTTATTCTCTATTTGTTCTTTTAAATCTTATGGCACGTTCTTAATTGTCCTTTATTAATAAGGAATATTAAAAAACCCGATTTTGATTACAATTTCCCTAATTAAATTGGAAATACAAAAAAATATCTTAATTATGACGAGACTATTGTTATGAGAAATAATTATTGAAAATTATGAAATAATTATTGAAAAGTGCCCTATGAAAAAGGAACAACTCTCGTATTAAATATAAGAAAAATAAATATTTATAAATGAATAAATAAAAGGAAAAATTTTACACGTTGCAGAGGTAATTAATTAATTTCATTTTATTTATTTTTTTTTTATGAATAAATATCAAAGTGTAAATTGTTTTTGTGTATACCTTAAATACCCACTAAATTTTTCCATAAAGAAATGAATGGAAAAAACTAAGGACAAAAAAATTATTCTACTTAAAAAAAATAATAACGATTCCTTGTTCTTTTTAGATTTTTATATTTTACCATTTTTTTTTTCAACTCACACATCTGTACACATATTTTGTTTTCACGTATATTATTTGAAATTTTTGGGAGAAAGAATAAAAGGCTAATAAATAAATCAAATAATTACAGACCGAAAATAACCTTTTTCCGGATTATATTACATTTTTTATTTTGTTTTTTTTTTTTTTTTTTATATGAAAATAAAACTCACCTGTAGACAAGAAAATTTTACAAGAGTATAAAATTTTATTTAATGTTTTTACACACAAATATTGTGGTCTCATAATAATGAACAAATTACTTATATATTTGTAAACATAGATCAGTGCTTCTCAATCTTTGAATGATGAAAATGAATTTCAGAATTTTTCTGAAATAATTTTTGCTATTTTCTCATTAAATTTTCTTGAAATTTTTAAATATTTAATTATCAAAAATTTATTCACAATTAATTTTTTAAAAAAGCGATATCAAGTTCCTATTAAAGCGCCAATATCATATTTAAAAATTAAAATTAATTAAAATATGCCAGTTCCTTACTAAAAACCCTAGTGTAAATAGTAATTTCAAAACATCCATCGGAATTTTTTTTCAATTTTTCCGGGCAAAATAAAATTCATCAGAAAAAACTTTATTAAATTCATATATGAATATTCTGAAATTAAAATGCTATTGTCAGGAAATTCTATTCCATTTTGTTACATTTCTGAATCAGCTAGATTTGAAATATTTCATTTTATATAATTCAAATATTTAAGATTGATTCTCTACGATTATAAAGCATATAATAAGATGTTAATTTTTTCGTGTTCCTTATTCTTGTATTAACAACTATAATACGCGCCTAAAATTATGCAAAACTTTAAATTAAACTTACAATGGTTACTAATAAAAACCAAATTCTAAAATTATATCATTCAAAAATATAGTGTCATAAGCGCTGCCAATATAATTTAATTTAAAATATGTTATTCAATTCCAAATTATTTATAGACTCTCTGTTTAATTTGAAATTGTTTAGAATCTCTGTTTAATAATCTACCTAAATTTTTGTACAAAATTCAAATTACAACCACAAAACACTTTTATTTCCTATTTAATATTAATGTATAGAAAACAAAAATTTGTTTTTATATAGCTAACTAGACTTCAAGGGAAAAAAAATGTCCTTTTACATTTAAGGATATTATTATAATGGTAACTAAAACATTATAAGAAAAATTGTTTTGACACTTAAAATAGTTATAAGGCATTTTAATTATTCTCGAAATCTAAAGGATATATGGGCATAAATGAATTGTAAAATTATTTTTTTATTATTATTACATATAATGATTTTTTTAACACGTGATTCTATTAAGGTAATAATAATAAATTTAATAATCACGGACTCAACTGGAGCGTTAACTGTAATAAATTATTATA